CAACTGCCTCTTGGTCCAGGTACAGAATCCTCATGAGCACAATAAGTGTTCAGGAATACTCATACTTCGCAATGTTGTCCATAGCTTGTCATGATCCACACAATCGGAAGCATTTGTATAGTCAATAAAGCACAGGTAAACATCTTTCTGGTATTTTACTTAATAATTGTTAGTTACAGGAGTGGCTGTAAAGTTGAATGCTATGGTAATTCATTTAATTCTGTCCCAAGTGTTCAACCTAGGAATGTTTAAAGTTTTTCTTGTCTCCTTTGTATTTTTAAATTCAGTAAAGATGTTTTAATAATGTCTTCCTCCTCAGCCCTCCCCCCGCCCGTGAAAGTCATGAAAGTCCAGTCTTAATGAAAGCATTGAAATTGTGGTGACTTTCAAAGGAATTATTTGGAGGGTTTTGTTTCAGGCGTGAGCTTCAACATTTTGGAGTGAAAATCAGCATAGTTGAACCTGGCTACTTCAGAACCGGAATGACAGACCTTCAGCTGTCTTTAGAGAAAATGAAGCAAGCTTGGGAAGAAGCGCCTGCCGATATCAAGGAGACTTATGGACAGCAGTTTTTTGATGCCTGTGAGCATTTTTCTTTTGATAAGGATAATGGGTACCCTTGTACTTTGCATGTGAAGGGGAAAGAGGGTTGGTGAAGAGTGATTGGCAGATCCACTGAGAACAAAGCCTTCTTAGGGTAGGAGGGAGTCAACGAACATTTAGGTTGTTTCTAATGCCCACACAGTTGGCATAGTGATGCCAGTCACAGCTGAGGAGTCCACATAGGGCCTGTGGACCTGAGCACTAAGGAGGAATTCCATGGTTAGGGACATGGAATCTTTGAATCTGGAGCAGAAGTGTCTCTCAGTACTTCAGCAGGCGGGGTGCGAGGCCTGCTCCACTGAAGTGCAGCCTCCAGGATTGTTTCCTTATTCAAGAGGTTGTTGTTGTTGTTAAGTGCCGTCCAGTCGATTCCGACCCATAGTGACCCTGTATAGGGATTCCAAGGAGCAGCTAGTGAGCTTGAACTGCTGACCTTGCAGTTCAAACGGCTGTGCAATCTGGTGCATTAACCCACAGCGCCACACCAGGAGAGAGGGTATAATTATGGAGAGGTAAGTGGGAGAGGGCCAAGTTTGCAGGACTTTGTGGGCCAATCGAGGAACCTGGGTGTCACAGTGGTTAAGCACTTGGCTGCAAACTGAAAGGTAGGAAATTCAAATGCACTAGCTGCTCTGTGGGAGAAAGATGTGGCAGTCTGCTTCCCTTAAGATTTGTTGTTGTTGTTAAGTGTTGTTGACCTTGGAAACCCTACGGGGCACTTCTACTCTATTTTATAGCTGCTGTGAGTCAGAATTGATTCAATGACAGTGGGTTGAGTGGGCCATTCCAAGAGACGGGACTTCGTGTCCAGGCTATAGGAGTCCTTTAGGAGGAAATGAGAAAGATCATTCTGATGACAAGTAGCTTGGGAGTGGAGACAAGACAGCCCTCTTAGTAGAAGTAAGCCATGTGCCTGGGGGTAGGATTGAGCCTTTCTGGGGCAAGAGATGCTTTTGTTTCCCACAAAGATGTCAGCAGCTTGCCACAGCCAATGGGAATAGCCCTCTTCTATTTCAAACAAAGGCCTTGTGGTGTAAAACAGCAGCCTTGTTTGTTAAAGGAGTGGTTGCAAAGTTGGCTTTGGGTAATGCTGCAGTCCAGGGAAAAGGAGAAGGGGGATGTACAGAGAGAAGTTTCTGATATAGAGCCCTGGGTTTTGAGTACATTAGGCCCAAGAGGGTAACCATTAATAAAGAGAAGAAATGCATTCAAGGAAACAGTACCCAAATCACTCAAAACTTATAACCTATTGTTGTTATTAGGTGCCATCGAGTGTGTACCGACTCATAGCGACATTATGCACAGCAGAATGAAACATTGCCCGATCCTGGGCCAACCTCACTATCATTGCCACGCCTGAGCCCATTGATGCTGCCACTTTGCCAATCCATCTTGCTGGGAGTCTTCCTCTTTTTCTCTGACCTTACCAAAGATGATATTCTCCTCCAGCGACTGGGCCCTCCTGACAGTATGTCCAAAGTATGAGAGACGAAGTTTGGCTATCCTGGTCTCCAAGGAGCACTTTGGCTGCACTTCATCCAACACACATCAGTTGGTTCTTTTGGCAGCTCATGGCATTTTCAATATTCTCCAACACCATAACTCAAAAGCATCAATTCTTCTACAGTCTTCCTTATTCACTGTCCAGCTTTCTCATGCATATCAGGTTATTGAAAATACTATGGCTTGGGTCAGGCGCACCTTAGTCTTCAGGCCGACATCTTTGCTCTTCAACACTTTAAAAAGGTCTTGTGCAGCAGATTTGCCTAATGAAATACGTCGTCTGATTTCTTGACTGCTGCTTCCATGAGTGTTGATAATTGATCCAAGAAGAATGAAGTCCTTGACAACGTCAATCTTTTCTCCGTTGATAAGAATGCTGTTTATTGGTCCAGTGATGAGGATTTTTGTTTGCTTGACATTGAAATGTAATCCATACCAAAGGCTGTGTTCTTTGATCTTCATCAGTAAATGTTTTAAGTCTTCTTCACTTTTAGCAAGCAAGGTTGTATCATCTGCATATCGCAGGTTGTTAATGAGTCTTCCTTCAATCCTGATGCCATGTTTTTCTTCATAGAACCCAGTTTCTCGGATTCTTTGCTCAGCATACAGGTTGAGTAAGTATGGTGAAAGAATACAACCTTGTCGCACACCTTTCTTAATTTTAAAACATTTAGTGTTCCCATGTTCTGTTTGAACAACTGCCTCTTGGTCCATGTACAGATTCCTCATAAGCACAATTAAGTGTTCAGGAATACTCATACTTCGCAATGTTGTCCGTAGCTTGTCATGATCCACACAATCAAAAGCCTTTGTGTAGTCAATAAAGCACAGGTAAACATCTTTCTGATATTCTCTGCTTTCAGTCAAGATCCATCAGACATCAGCAATGATATCCTTTGTTCCACGGCCTCTTCTGAATCCGGCTTGAACCTCTGGAAGTTCTCTGTCAATGTATGCTTGTAGCTGTTTCTGTATTACGTTTAGTAAAACTTTACTCACATGGGATATCAAAGATACCGTGCGATGATTTCCGCATTCCGTTGGGTCACCTCTCTTTGGAATGGGCAAAAATATGGATCTCTTCTGATCAGTTGGCCAGATAGTTGTCTTCCAGATTTCTTGGCAGAGATGAGTGAGTGCCTCCTGTGCCACCTCACTTTCTTGAAAGATTTCAATTTGTGTTCCTGGAGCCTTGTTCTTTACCAATTCCTTCAATGCACCTTGGACTTCTTCCTTCAGTATCATTGGCTCTTGATCATATGTTACCTGTTGAAACAGTTGAACATCAACCATTTTCTTTTGGTATAGGGACTCTGTGTATTCCTTCCATCTTCTTTTGATGCTTTCTTCATCATAATAATTTGCACAGAGAATCCTTCAATAATGAAAGCCGAGGCTTAATTTTTTTCTTCAGTTACCCCAGCATGAGAAATGCTGAGTGTGTTCTTCGTTTTTGGTTTTCTGCCTCCAGATCTTTGCACATTTTGTTGTAATCTTTGGCTCTATCTTCTCTAGCTGATCTTTGAAATTTTCTTGTACCTCTTCGTTTCTTCCATTTGCTTCAGCATCTCTATGCTGGAGAGCAAGTTTCAGTGTTTCTTCTGACATCTATTTTGACCTTTTCCTTCTTTCTCAATGACTTTTTGCTTTCTACCTGTATGATATTCTTGATGTCATCCCACAACTCGTCCAGTCTTTGTTCTTTAGTGTTTAATGTATCAAATCTGTTCTTCAGATGGGATATATTCAAGGTCATATTTTGGCTCTCTTGGACTTGTTTTCATTTTCTTCAGCTTCAGTTTGAATTTGCATATGAGCAATTGATGATCTGTTCCACAATCTGCCCTATTAGGTAGCTGTATTTTCCAACTTGCCAGAGGGCTGGCCATTGTTCTAAGCTCTTCTCCACCTAAAGTTTTAAATAATTTATTAAGGAATTTACCCCCCACCCTTATGTGTATATGTCTATTATTTGAAGACAAAAGTCAATAGGAAAATTGGATTAAGAAGTGACTATATGTAAAAGCCTGGAGTCTTGGTGTGGCGCTGTAGGATAAGCTCTGGATTACTAACTGCAAGGTTGGTGGTTCAGACTCACCATCTGCTCCTGTTAAACCTTATACAAGGTCACTATGAATTGGAACCAACTCAACTGGCACTTAACAGCAGCAATGTATGTAAAAGCAGGGATACATATTATTTCATGATTTAAAAGGAGTTGAAATTGTTCATATGTTTGTCAATGGAACTGAATAATCTAGATTATTGCTATCCAATAGAAAAATAATGGCATTTGTAGTCATACATTTTTTAGTAGCTACATTAAAAAAAGGAAAAAGAATGGGTGAATTTAATTTTTATAAGTATATTATATTTAATCAACTATATCTAAAATACTATCATCTCAACATGTTAATATTAATATGAATTTATTAAAAGGACATTTTATATTTTATTCTTTTTTGACATTAGTGTTTGAAAATTTAAAATTTTGGGTGCCAATTTTTGATTGGAAGTACTTGATCTGTATTTAGATTTAGTAAAATTTATAGTTGCTAGCAGCATTATTTATAATAGCTAAAAAATGAAAACAATCAAAATGTCCATTAGCTGGTGTATACATAAACAAAATGTGGCATTTCCATACAATGGAATATAAATATTATTTGGCAATTGAGAGGAATTAAGTACTTTTACATGCTACAGCATGGATGAGCCTTGAAAATATTATGCTCAGTGAAAGAAACCAGTCATGATGAACCATAAAATATTTACATGGATAGTAAATGTCCTGAAGAGGTAAACCATACAGACAGAAAGTAGATTAGTTAGTGTTGCCTGAGGTTAGTGTCAGCTGGGGAGAAATGGAGAGTGATTGCTTATTAGTTATGGGGTTTTTTTTTTTTTGGATGATAAAAATGTTCTAAATTCAGATTATAGTGATGGTTGTGTAACTTTTTAATTTATTTTTATTTTTAAAGTTTTTATTGTGAATTAAGTAATGGTTGACATGGGAGAACATTAGCTTGACATTTATCCTATCATATATTGTTTCATTGCAATGATTACAATCCCCTCCATTCATGATCATACAACCAAATGGTACACCAGCAAAGCTCCCCTCCCCCAGCACACAGACCTTCTCCTTCCCTACCTCCAGAGTGCCCAGCCACTCCCTCTCTCCATGTCATTGTCTCTCTGCGTCCATCTCTGATGACTCTGCTTCTCTGGATAGGGTCCAGCACTTGGCTCTTCTCCCGTGGTGATCCCAGGGACCTCTGATCCTAGACTGTGTAACTTTGAATATATTAAAAACCATTAATTAGTTTTAAGTGGCTAAATATCATGATGTGTGAATTTTATCGCTACAAAGATATTAAAGCACTTAAAAAAGTAGGTTTACATATCTATGTTATTTCATATATACTTAAAAGTTTTCTAATAGCTAAATTGAAATTTTACATTAAAGTTAATTAAGATAAAATAAAATGAAAATTTTAGTTTTCACTTACAGTGGTCAAATTTTAAGGGCAGTTATCATGTTGGAAAATACAGGTCTTGACTGGCCTAACCTTTGTAGAAATTAAGCTTGGTTAAATTTATGTGACTGGACCCCTGAGTGGTGAAAAGTTAATTGCACAACTGCTGGCCAAAAAGTTGGTGATCCAGACCCTTCTAGAGGCACTTCAGAAGACAAGCTTGGTGATTTACTTTCAAAAGGCCACATCCTTGAGAACGCTGTGGAGTGGTTCTACTCTGCACACATGGAGTCTCCGTGAGTTGGAATTGACTACCCGGCAACTGACAACAACAGATTTCTGTGACTGCATGCAGCAGGCTCTTAAAGACAGGAATAAGATTGCTGACTACCCTTTCTCTTTTTGTGGACAGATTACAACAGGACCAAACAAGGGCTGTTGAGGTGTAGCACCAACCTGAACCTGGTCACTGACTGCATGGAACATGCTCTGACATCTGTGCATCCCCGCACTCGGTACTCAGCTGGTTGGGATGCTCAATTTTTCTTCATCCCTTTATCTTATCTACCGACATCACTAGCAGACTATATATTAACTAGATCTTTGCCCAAGCCAGCTCAGGCTGTCTAAAGAAAGCTGGTTAGATGGCTTTTGGAAGGAAGAAGATAAAAATCCAAAATTGATGTATGTTAATAATCCTTATTTAGAACCTGGACTTTTTGTACCAATACGGTTTCTTGCCTAAACTCATTTATGTGGCAATGCCGATTAAAAGCATTGTTTATGTTCCAGATATCCAATGCTTTACTCCTTAAGGCAATGCATCATTTTTTGATGAGATTGTTTCCAAAATGCCGTATACTTCCTGGCCCTATTAAACAGTAGAGTGAAAACAGTGTAACCGGTTGTGATGTTGTTTCTCTGTGTACATGATTGGTGCTCCTGTTCTATGATACACTACTGCTAGAAACTGCTGAGGAATCAATATGGGAGACTGTTGACCCATACTCAAAATGGGTCTATCCCGTGGTACTTTCAAATCAACATTTGATTTTGTTTTTTCCTACTATATTGCCATTTAGAAACGATATTTCTTCCTTATTTATAAAGAAATTTAAAATTTTAAGTGAAAATACACATAATTAATAGAGCTCTGGTAGCATAGTGGTTACGAATTGGGCTGCTAATTTCATGGTCAGCAGTTCGAAACTACCAGATGTTCAGTGGGAGAAAGATGAGGCTTTCTGTTCTCGTAAAAATTTACAGCCTCAGAAACCCTATACGGGGTAACTGTGAGTTGGAACCAACTTCACAGCACATAACAACAACAACAACACATACACACACACACACACACACACAGAGTTAAATATTTAGTTCTTTAAAACTTAAAATAAAAAATCCTACCTTTTCCCTACCCTAGTGCTTTTCCCCTAGACAAATGCTGTCAACTTTTAGCTATGTTTCTGGTATTTACTGCCATATTTCTAATAATATACTACTATTTCCTGATTTACTAATTTTGGACATTCTTGATTGACATTTTTTTGTGTTCATTTCAAATGCCTTTAAAAAATGTTTTATTGTGAATTATGTGATAGTTTACATGGGAGAACATTAGTTTTACATTCCTCATATCATTGCCATGGTTACAGTCCCCTCCATGCATCATCAACCAACCAAAGGGTATACCCTACAAGCCTTCCCCCCCTTCCCCTCTGGTCATCAGCAGCATACAGCCCATCTCCCTTTCTGGGTCTAAAGTCCCCAGCTGCTCCACTCCATCTCTCCACGTCATCCTCTCTGCCTCCATCTCTGGTATCACTGCTTCTCTGGGTATGGTCCTGCTCTCCGCTCTTCTCCCTTGACGGTCCCAGGGACCTCCGCTTCTAGACTGCAAAGTTAATCACTCCCCTCCTTGCTACAAAATGTCTACCTTTACATTTCTAACCCTCACAATCAGTCCTGATAACAATTATTCACTACTGTATCACAAGAGACCTATCTGCATTTCCTTTCATCAGTCCCACCTAGACAATGGAAATTCTGTCTTCCTCCATGCCCTCTGGATCTAGATTCCCTCTTGAAAGCTTGTAAGCCAGTTACTTCTTGCCTTTGTAGTCCCCCCACCCCCCCCAACTTTGAGTAGCCAACGTCCAAGTTGCCCATCCTTGTCTAGTGTATGGAGGGGGTGGGAATGATCTTCGCTGTAAAGATTTGTTCCCTCTTTTGAGCTACTGCATCCATAGGTATAGGTCAAGTTCATCAAATTGTATCAGATTACTCGTTTTTTCCTCTTCTTTCTTCTTCTAGTTGAGTTTTGATCATCCAGTCATTGAAGCCAGGTCAAGTGGGTATTATCTGCAAGTGTGGGTGTTCCTGTGCCTATGCCCTCTCTTCTTATCAGCTGGATGCTTCACTCTCCACTCTAGTCCTCTGTGGCTATGTCACTGACTCTGGGCCCAAGAGTCCCCAGAGTCTTGCCACACTGCTGGCCAACCAGGTCTCAATTGATTGACTTATTAAAACAGAATTTTATTTATTTTGTTATTATTGAGAATATACACAACAAAGCATACACCAATCAATAATTTCTACATGTACCATTTAGTGACATTGATTATATTCTTTGAGTTGTGAGACCATTCTCACCCTCCTTTTCTGAGTTGTTCTTCACCACTAATATAAACTTGCTGCCACCTAAGTTCCTATCTAATCTTTCAAGTTGTTGCTGTCAATTTGATCTCATACTTCAAAGAGTGCATGGATAATTTCTTAGGGAAAGATTATCACAAAGCTGCTTCTAAGGAGGCAGAGGTTAAGGATGCTCCAAATGTCCTATTTTTCTAACTACTGTACCACTCATCTCTGATATCAACTACTTGGTACTCTCCTGTCTCTGGGTTTCATCATTCACTACAGCATCTCGCAGAACTTGCAAACCATGAAGGAATCGGCTCATGCAGTTGTGGAGGCGGACAATTCCCAAATTCCTAAGTCAGGTGTCAGTCTGGAGGCTTCTGATTCATGTGGTTGCAGGGGCTGATGAGCCCGAATCAGCTGGTCACATGGCAGGCTGCTGGCTCACAAGACTGCAGAAGCTGGTGAATCAGGTCAGATGGTAGACTGTGGCTCAAGTTCCAATAACTGGAGGTCCTGTGATGACGAGCCAACTGCAGGACCCAAAGAAAGAGAGAAACTTTGCCAGAGCATTGATGAGACCTTGGATGCAGACCATACCCCTCAAAGAAACTCTCCTTACTTGAGCAAAGTGGTACAAGGGAGTGAAGGGTGGTGATGGTGGTGATTTGAGTTATACCCTCTAGTAAGGTGGTGACTCAAGAGACATCTCACCCTAATCCTGTTTCATTAAATGACAGACAACTCACTCCCAAGTGGGACCATCATCACAGGCACAGAAACACATCACAAAATGGAGGATAACTGTACCTTTATATAACTGCCAACCCACTGAGAATCATGGTCCAGTCAAGTTGACACATAGCCTAAACCATCACAGGTTCTATACACCTTATTTGCATTAACAGCAAGCTGCTTAACTTCCTCAGTGGGCCACAAGTACCATATTTGTATAGTCCTATTAATTCTTGGGGAGTCCTGGTGTGGTAATGTGGGTTAAAGTGCCAGACTGCAAAGCCATTTAAACTGCAAGTTCGGCAGTTCAAGCTCACCAGCTGCTCCTTGGAAACCCTATACAGGGTCGCTATGGGTTGGAACTGACTTGACAGCACTTAACAACACCAACATTGATTCTTGGGCAGTTCTGGTGTGGCACTGTGGGTTAGTTAATGCACTGGTCTGCAATGTTAGTTTGAACCACAAGGTTGGTGGTTCAAGCTCATTAGCCGCTCCTTGGAGACCCTACACAGGGTTGCTATGGGTCAGAACTGACTCAATGGCACTTAACAACAACAACAATGCATTCTTGTGTTTCCTGGTGTGGTGCTATGGGATAAAGTACTAGACTACAAGGTCGGTCAGTTTGAACCACAGGGTTGGTGGTTCAAACTCACCAGCTTCTCCTCAGAAACCCTATACAGGGTCGCTATGAGTCGTAATCGACTTGATGGCACTTAACAACAACAACAACAACAATAATCCATTCTTTCTGTGGAAGTTACAAAGATTAGCTACATGTAGTTAAGTAATTCACTGCACCACAAAGAGTATAATGCTCTTTTTTTTTACTAGTTAAAAAAAACTATTGTTTTTTTGTTTTTTTTTTACTAGTTAAACTAAACTATTTTTTACTAGTTAAACTAAACTATTGTTTGGTTTTAAGAAGACTCAGGGGATATTTTGGAGTCCTGGTGTGGTGCTGTGGGCTAATGTGGCAGACTGCAAAGTCCTTTGAACTGCAAGGTTGGTGGTTCAAGCTCACCAGCTGCTCCTTGGAAACCCTATACAGGGTGGCTATGGGTCAGAATTGACTTGAGGGCATTTAACAACAACAACAAAGGGGATATTTTTGGTTTAAGATTTGAAGGTTATTTCAGGGCAACAGTTTCAGAGTTTACCTACCCCTTCATAGCTCAGGAAGTGTACCATCCATGAAAATTTAAAATTCTGTTCTGCACCACTCCCCCTTTGAGTAGGGTTTACCTATAGAATCTTTGATCATAATGTTCAGTAGTGGTAGCTGGGCACTTTCCAGTTCTGGTCTCATGACAAAACAGCTGTGCAGGGAGCAATTAGCCACACATTCCACATCTCCCTCCTAGTCCTGACTCTCCTGCTGTTAGTCCCGGTGAATAGAGACCAAGTGTGCCTTAGATAGCTGCTTGCAAGCTTTGAAGACTCCCAGGCACTACACATTGAACTAGAAGATAGAACAGAAGTACTAAACTCATTATTAGGCCAATTAACCGGGAAGTCCAATGAAACCACTACCTTAAACCGCCAAACGAAACAACCAAATCCCATGAGATTTTTCATTGTATATAATCAGCTTCAGCAGTTACTATTTTGTTGGCATTGTAAGTATATCCTTTACATAACTTTTGCCACAATAATCGTTGTGCAACCCTACCCTTAAAGTGGTATTTCCATCACTGTCCCACACCACTTCCTTTTCTCCTTCCCTTGGGGAAATCATTGATAATAAATTTTGTTCTCTATGCATTTGTTCTTTTCTTGTCTTTTTATATAAGTGAAGTTATACAGTATCTGTCCTTTTGTGTTGGACCTCAGCACAATGGCTTCTAGCCTCATCTATATATTCTAGCACATATCAAGACTTAATTTCTTTTCGTCATTCTTCAGGTCTGAAGCTTAACTCACTCCCGTGTCTCAATTTCCAGCCCACCAATAGATTGGTCTCTAAGGGGAACACTAACACTAATTAGGTCTGCATACCTTAGGGTAATCAACCATTTGGATCAAAAGGGCAGCATTTACCCAAGGACAAAATTAAGAAGGGATAGGAAAAAGGAGGAATGGAAACAGGAAATGGGATAAGTGATGTTGTGTTGCAGGGATTGCAATCAAAAAGAGGAAACAAAAATGTAAATGTAAAAGTGATGATCTGCTCTATAAACCACCAAATCCACAATAAAAAGTTACAAAGAAAACCCACACACTACTTAATTTAGCTTACATAGTGTGTACCA